TGCGACTGCCGCCGTATGTGCGGAAGGGTGTCTAACATTTCCTCATTGTGCACATCCCTATCACCCAGATGTACATTGTCCTTTCTGTTCCCAAGGATGCTATCAGAACTGCATGATGCCGCACTGTGACGAACGTCCTGCTGTTTTCTTGACATGTGGGCAACATGTCCTATGTTGGGATTGTTTCGATGGGATGGTTCGTGCTAGCCGTTTGAATGCTGCACTAACGCAACTCTCCTTGGGTATCCCTGTGAACATCCCCGTCATCCTCACCGTAGTTGTCCTATCTGCCGAGGGGGTGACAGATGAAGTGTAGAAGAAACAGATTAAAAAAAAAAACGAGTAAAAAGATAAAAAAAGAAACCGAGGAAAGAAAAACACAAAAAAAGAAACCTGAGAAAAAAAGAAAAAAGAAAAAAGAAAAATATGTTCTGTGGGATGATAATTGGATTATCTGTGGGATGTGTACTTGCTTCGTCTGTTTAATAGGCTTTCTTCTTCTGTGAGGTTTGGTTTCCTCCGCCTTTTCTTTACCTCTTTGCCTTTTGGCTGCGTGCAAGTGGGTCTTTATGACACACGGGGATGGGGGCAGCCAGCGCTCAACCTGTCATCCACGTGGCTGGCCTTGTACGTACGAGGTTATGAACGGGTGGAGCTTTCCTTACCTCTTCTTCTTCCCCTTTTTTCTTTTCTCTTCTTTTCTTCTTCTTTTTTTCGCTCCTGCGCTCTGATTCACAGTGTGACAATATATATGGGCCCTGACGCTCTTTCTGTATCTGACGTTCTTCAACATCTTCGGTTTATTGTGACATATCTATATACAGCGGATGGCCTTGTTCCACACCAAGTAGTTGGTATCCCAATGGGTACAAACGCTATTCCTGAGATTGCTAACCTCATACTTTATTGGGATGAGGCGCAGTGCGTGGACAATCTGCAGCGTGTGGATCCCTCTGCATCCCGCCGATATGTTTTCACTTATCGGTTCATTGATGATGTTCTTACCTTTGATTGTCTGCCACCATCGCCAGCCTATTATGGTCTTGAATGGAGACCACTGCGGCCGATGGCTCGTGCACCTTTTTAGGTGCGAAACTGCAGACACGGGCAGACAAATCTCTCCGATTGAGTGTGTTTGATAAGACTGTTGCCTGGGATTTTCCTGTTATACGATATCCTAGTGCAACGTCGAACATTCCATCTCATCAGCCTGCAGGTGTGTTCACTGGTCAGCTTACGCGGTTTGAGCAGATCTGTGACAATTGGCGTGATTTCAGAGCTGCGGCAACCATGCTTGTCCGCTGATTGCTTTCTCGTGGCCATGCTTCGTCAACATTAGCTCGTGGATGGACTTGTTACATTTGGCCTCGCCAGCGTCGACACCCTGTACATGTAACTCGTCTTACACCGTGGTTTTGACGTATGCTTCGCTGGTCTGTGCATCCTCTTCCACCTTCTCCTCCCCTCTCCTTCCCCCTGCCTCCTTCCTCTTCCTCCCCCCTCCTCCCCCTTCCTCTTTTCC